TTATATTTTTATTTGCATACTGTTGTTTACCTTCCGTTCGCTTACTTTACCATTTAATTAATCTTTACGGCAATTGTTTACGCTCTATAGTATTTTGATAATATAAATAGCATTCAATTTATTGTAGCCTTGGCCAATTAGATGTTCATACGTATTATTTATATCAGCTTCTACCAGCGTCCTCGTCTGCAGTATCAGGGTAAAAGTAGTGGCTTATGTTCCAGACTCTCTATGCCAAATTTTATTCAGGTCCATTCAGAGGTATTTACGTTTCACGTACGAGGAAAAAACCCACTAATAGGACAATATTATAATTAGATATTACTATTTACTGCGTGAAACGTTCATCGTCCTCCGAATTTTTTGTTGTCTGATTTTTCTAGACCTGCTTTTTCACGGATTCGGATCGGATGTAGTGTGGAAGCGTTTCAAGTAAAGGAAATCTTAAAATCGAATTAAACAACATGTTTGATTTAATTTTCCATCCATTTATATAATTTTCATTATTACTTTTTCAGAAACGATGGAGGCCGGAGATTTCAAAGATTTCGCCAAGGCGATGACTGATTACATTGCTGAATACTTGGAAAATATTAGAGACAGGTAATTTACTAGTTTCTGACTAAGTGTTTTATTAAATAAACGTATGCATAGGTAATATAACCGCTCTTATCCATCTAGGTATAATTAAAATAACTAGGTAACTAATGTTTATAATTTTATTACCCACTTAAATACTTCGTTTGACTGCATTCATGGTCTCAATCTTGGGATTATGTCTGAGTGGTGTATATGATACAGTCCTAATTAAAGTTGAATGTTCGATGTTTTTTGAAGTAGCAGGGTATAAACCTCATAGGACATGGTACGTACCTACATATCTTTGTGTAACTATCGAGTTAAAGATCCGGAAGACAAACAACATCCTACTTCTGTTCTCACATTTTCTTGCTTCTATATCTTCAGACAAGTAGTGCCGTCAGTGAAACCTGGGTACTTGAGGCCTCTGGTGCCGGAGCAGGCTCCCGAGAAGGCAGAGCCCTGGACAGCAGTGATGGCGGACATTGAGCGTGTAGTCATGTCCGGGGTCACCCACTGGCACTCACCGCGCTTCCACGCCTACTTTCCCACCGCTAACTCCTACCCTGCCATCGTGGCTGACATGCTGAGCGGTGCTATCGCTTGCATTGGTTTTACTTGGGTAAGTAATTGAACAAAACTTCATACATATACGGTCAATAGTTGCTGAGGTCGTGGTATCACTCGTAGGATCTCCCACACTTAATTTCTTGGAAAAAAGTGGTATTGAGAATCGGAGGCCCAATTCTCTTTCGCCTCCCCGAATTTCTAAATCGCCGAAACCCTAATCCACAAAAGGTTGGCAAAGCACTCGTAACTTATATACATATATGTTATGCATATACTCATATAGAAGTTCCGGTATGGCTCACGGAATACAACTGACTCAATCCAGAGTACTATTGGTTAATACGCTGAATCGAGTCAGTGTCAATGTCACATAGGTAACTCGAACAAGGAAAACCGGTCACTTGTTTTATACACTCGTGGGCATTTTTTGTTTAAACAGAGCATGTATTGTAGTTAAAGTAATTAAGAACATTAGCGTTAAAATACGATTTTGTTGTTGTTGCTAGCTTTATTTAGCTTTACCTAACAATCGTGGTAATACGAGACACAACAGAAAAACAAGTTGTGCGCTAACGCCGGCCGTTCACTTGGGGTTTGAAGAATTAAATTCTGTTAGTGGTGGTCCCAGTATTTGGTTACCACCAACCTGATGTTGAAAAAATAAATGTTCAAGTATATTTATAAGCCGTACAGTCCAGTGGATAGGTCACGTTCGTAAATCATTTGGCATTGCGCCATATCTGATTAGGATTGTGATGCCTAACTGCTAAGCCGGGATTAAAACTTTTTTAGGAGAAAAATTTATCAAATGACTTCTCTTTATTTCTCTCTCTCTCTCTCTCTCTCACAAATCAAATCTCAAATGTAACACTTAACACTAAGATGTGTACAGTTTTTTAGTATACAGGTTCTAATTTTATATGTTCTTTGTTTGAATTCTAGATCGCGAGTCCAGCTTGCACGGAATTGGAGGTTGTCATGCTTGACTGGTTGGGCCAGATGTTGGGTCTACCCGAGTCGTTCCTGGCTAGATCTGGTGGTGAGGCAGGTGGGGTGATTCAAGGCACCGCCAGTGAAGCCACGCTGGTCGCTTTGCTTGGAGCCAAGAACCGCACCATCTTACGTGTTAAGGAAAAGCACCCTGAATGGAGCGACACTGAGATTCTGTCGAAACTGGTCGGTTATTGCAACAGTAAGTAACAAAAGGTTTATTTCTTATTACAGGAAACTGATTACTTAATTACTTCAGTCTTCTGAGATTAAAACATCAGATACTTATGTATGTGACGATACTTTGACTAAGTACCTACATACTTAACATTTTTTTTGTATTTTTATTCACCTATTTTTTGTTTTGTAGTATAAGAAAAACTAAGTTAAAACCAATTTCAAATTTACGAGTGGCACTTGGGTACGTCGCCGCTTAGTACATTACAACAAATTACTAAGTCGTGATGTCACGCGATATTTCAGAACAATGTTATAACTTTTGTACCTATTTGATTCTGTAAATAAGAGTCTAACGTTTAAAAATAATCTAAAAGACGGACATTTAGTAATCTACTTTGCTGATAGCATAGACGGGTTATTGGACCATAGAAAAACTCACAAATGTCAGCTGTATGATTACGCAACAATTAATTCTTATGTATTTGTTTAATTACAGAGCAAGCCCATTCTTCCGTGGAACGCGCTGGACTTTTGGGAGGAGTAAAACTTCGTTTACTACAGCCTGACGGAAAGAGGAGTCTTCGTGGAGATACCCTCCGAGACGCCATCGAGGAAGATACTCGCAACGGACTTATTCCATTCTATGTACGTATTATAAAAAACCTTGTCAACACTAATGTTTCGAAATTTCACGTAAAATGACATCAAAAAATCGAATTATAACAATTTATTACTGTGTTGCAGGTCGTGGCTACTTTAGGAACAACATCATCCTGCGCGTTTGATGCATTAGACGAAATTGGCGATGTATGCAACGAGCATGGCGTTTGGTTGCATGTAGACGCTGCCTACGCCGGATCAGCATTCATCTGTCCTGAATATCGCTACCTCATGAAGGGCGTTGAAAAGGCGGATTCCTTCAATTTCAACCCACACAAATGGTTACTGGTTAACTTTGATTGTTCCGCCTTGTGGCTGAAAGAACCACGTTGGATCATCGATGCCTTCAATGTGGACCCACTATATCTGAAACACGATATGCAAGGATCTGCCCCTGACTACCGTCACTGGCAAATACCTTTGGGCCGTCGTTTTAGAGCCCTCAAGCTGTGGTTCGTTCTGCGTCTGTACGGCGTAGAGAATCTTCAAAAACACATCAGAAAGCATATTGCTTTGGCTCATTTATTTGAAAAATTGTGCAGCGCTGATGAAAGGTTCGAAATTTACGAAGAAGTGACCATGGGCCTTGTTTGCTTTAGACTAAAGGAGAGTAACGAAAAGAATGAAGAATTACTCAGGCGTATTAACGGCAGAGGCAAGATTCATTTAGTTCCTTCTAAAATTGATGACACATATTTCCTAAGGCTAGCTATTTGCTCACGCTTCAGCGAGGAGAGTGATATTCATGTGTCTTGGGAAGAGGTGAAGGCCTCTGCTGATGAGATTCTTAAAGGCCAATAAAAGGACTTTGCATTTCAAAATAATAGCAATAATTTAATGTAATAAATATTCTTGCCACTTTAAAGAAAACAAAAAAAGAATGTATGGATAGATTTATAGCATCAATTTACGTACCTGTAGTAAACAATTGTATTATTGGCTTAATGTCTGCTGCTGAATGTATTTTACGCCATAATGTTGCCTATATTTATATGTAGTATTATATGCAGCCCGTCCCCGCTTCGCGTTTGTTTTCTGCGTTGCTTTTTTCCGATTCTACCCCCTATGCTCTAAAACTTTCTTTATAAAACCCTTTTCGTGACTGTCAAAATACAATAAAAAATGAAGTGTCTAAATTGGTCCAGGCGTTATAGATATATAGTTACCAACATATTTTGCGATTCGTTTTTATATATTTATAGAATAGTACATTACGTGTATAAAGAAAATTGTGATAGTGATCGTATTTATTGAGTTAAAACTTTAAATGCAGCTAAAGACAATAATTTGTTTAGTCTTTAAAAAAAATAGATACTTAGGTACCTTAGTACCAATTTCCTAGATCGGGTTCGACTCCCGAAATCCTATAATCGTGTAGTTTGTTGTGAGAGGTAGGTACCTAATTAATACATAAGTTGTGATAATTTTATTAAGTAATGACAATACCAGTAGGTGCGTTATCTTTTTAAAAATGTAAGCAATGTATTGCAATCTAAGCTTATGGAGACAATATGTACCTACTCACTTTACTTGTACTGTGTAAATTATTATTATTATTTCGATTTTTAATGATGTGTTAATGTAATTAGCGATGTCAACGAAAAGCTTATATTATGATAATAATATGGTAAGTAGATAAGAAACTTCATGTATACACCTACGTCTGCTTACCGGTTTTTTAGTTAAGGTAGGTCATGCCTGCTAAACTTTTGAGTGGATCGACAACGGACGGACTTTTGATTCTTAGTTGTTGTCATTTATTTATTTTATTACCTATTCTTATCTATAATACTTGTAACGTTATTTAGAGTAACAAAATTGTATACGTGTCTATTTAAAATTCATGATATATCTGTTCGTTACCTATCATATTTAATGTGTAATAAACAATATCATATGAAAGGTTTTGATTATTATTTATGCCCATCTAATAGTTAGGGGAGGGTGGGGTAATCACGGACGGCGGGTAATGCCGGACACATCAGTTTAGGTGTGTCAGAAAAGGGTAGTAGATATTCTCAATGCTTCAATCGCAAGTCGAGTTCGAACGTAGTGCCGGACTGTGAGTAGGGGAGTGAGGCTGCGCACACTTTGTAAGGTATGTAAATTTGAGTTTTTTTCTACAATTTCATCTAATTTTAGTGTAATTTTGAAAAGTTGTATATTATGGCATTAATGACATAGGAATCTGGTATCTTTTATGTATATCGACATGTAATTAGATAAGGTTTTAAAGTACTCAGCACTTGCATTACTCGATTCTAACCACAATAAAAAAATAGTTCTGGATATTTCTGTGAATCGGCTAATGACGGACGACTTAGATGGGGCAATCTCGAACGTCCGCAATTACCCCTACATAGATTGATTTTTATCTTTCCCTAACCTAAAATATTGTTTCAACAGACTCTTAACTGTTGTGTTTTAAATATGTATACTTACTATATCTATTTTTAGATGCCACGACGTTACCAAAGGAAGACTGAGACAAATACAAATTAGAAGATTTAGAAAAAGCTGTTCACGATGTAAGGAACAAAATACTGTCGTTAGGAAAGGCGTCTATTATTTATTCTGTTCCAAAAAGTACTATACATGACTATCTCAAGAAAGAAATAATAAATGAACCTAAAACTGGAAGAAAAGCTATATTTACTGATGCACAAGAAACTGAATTAGAACAACATATAATTAAATGCAGCAAAGTATTTTATGGCTTAACAATAGAAATGGTGCGAAAAATGTACCACGCAAAAAGAAGAAAGTCGATAAAGGAGCTACGACGGAGAAAGAGTATTATTGTCTGATTTGTGCCGAAAAGTATGAAGATCCTCCAGTTGAAGACTGGATTGAATGTCACAAATGTAGGTTGTGGGCCCACGAAAACTGCACAAGTGGTAAAAGCACTTCAAAGGGTTTTCTCTGTGATTTTTGTAGGAGTTAGACCACGTTCGTTAGCATCCGAGATTACCCCACACTGTGTCCGTACTTACCCCACGTGCTGTGGGGTAATCCCGGATACAAGGGTTTTGTTTTTTTGATACTAGTTGATTTTATTTTGAAAATATATCTACGTTAAGTATGAGAACAGAAGATTGATTAGTTTAAGTAAACTTTTGGCAATAAATAGTATTCGTAACTTGGTATGGTTTTGTTCTATTTCAGTTTTCCCTTAAGTGTTCGCAATTACCCCACTCTCCCCTAACTGCTCAATGAATCACTACTTATAGAAGTTTCTAGAAACTATTAAATCAACAACATAAATAATTGGAGTCTCGCACTATAACGACGGGAAATATTTTAGTATTGCCTATAAACCGGTGTATATCTTCGTACAACGAGTGTACTAACCGTAATTTGTAGGAAGTCGGACGGAAGTCGCACGCTCAGTGACGTAAGCAATGACAATTAGGTACTTCAAATAAAAACCTGAATATTGGCATTTATTAGAGTTCATATGTTAAACAGTTACAAATTTCGTAGTACCTGTATGTTTTTATGATTTTGAAGAGGTGTATGAATAAAAAAACACTTCATATATCTGGTCGGTTTTAACAACATCATACGGATATGGGTACCAACGGAATTAAATATGTAATTTGTGTTTAGGGATTAGAAGGCAATAGGTAACCTCTTCAATATTTTGTTTGCAGGATAGATATTACATAATTCTTATTAATAAATAACTATAAAAAGGATTCAATTCCGAAACTGTAGCTTTAGTTCTGTCATTTTGTCTTACAAATGCTCTTTATAAAAAAAAGAAGAAAATTATTCTCTTTTCGCTCTATGGTGTTTTAAACGTCACTTCATTGTTGGAATGGAAAAGTTTTCAAATTCGAGAGTATAATGTAATTTAAAATTAATATCAGAATGAAATTATCGCGTATTAAATTAATATGGAAAGGGGATATTTGGAATTTGATAAAAAATTTCAGCTTGAAAACAGGCCGCACCCTAAATAGGACGTTGACAACTGGTCAACGACAGTTTGGTAATGCGGTCAGCACAGCAGGGCAAGAACAATGTATTCTAGACTCGTGCAGCATCAGCCCGAACTGCCAAGAGCCGCGAGTCATTATAGTAGGCGCTGGAATGGCAGGTCTTTCAGCAGCACATCGGCTCACACAGTGCGGTATAAGGAACTTCCTCGTTCTGGAGGCTAAAGACAGGTAATTGAATGATATTACAGAGTCAAATTAACTGTGTCTTAGACAAAAGTCTATATATAAGTAAGTAATAAGTGTGAGTGACCAGTGATAACATATCTATCGACCAGACGAGCCTTCTCGTTCTATGCTTGAGTCAGAAATGAAGGGATCCGCAAACAACCAACATTCACTGACAGCCTAGCAGATAACTAAGCGGGCTGGTCGCCTAGCACGGACGAATCCATAAACGATGGTCGATGAGAGTTGAAGGTTTGCGTATGGAGCTCACTTATCGGCAGATCATTTGGTGGAGAACTATCTCAAGCGTTGGACTGCTAGTGCTTAGAAATCATCTAACAAAGTAGGTATTATAATAAATCTTATCTTTTATTTTTACAGGCCTGGTGGCCGAATACATTCGTGCTGGCTGGGAGATGCGGTTATTGAAATGGGTGCCGAATGGATTTATGGTGCATGTTTACCAAATTCTGTTTATACATTAGCTTCACAAGATAGGCTTCTGCAACAACCGCTACCTCGTTTAGATGCATCAAGAGGTCTTTTTTGCACTAGTGAAGGACGTGCAGTAGACCTGCCAGTTACAATCACGGCGTATCACACGTTCAGGCAAATAGAACAACAGGCCGCTAATTTATTTAGACTTGGTGGAGAAAGACAACATGGAACCTTGTTAAATTTCATCGGTTTACGTATACAACAAGAACTGCACAATTTTCCCGAGGATCAAAGATACGACGCCGCACGCGTTATGTTTGGATTGACTAACATTCTACGGAACAAGTGCGGAGATGATCTATCTCTAGTCAGTGCTGATCAGTATGGCAGTTACATTGAACTGCCTGGTGGTTGTGTAAGAGTTCCTTTAGGATATGTAGGAGTAATGGCGCCGTTGTTACGTGGCCTTCCAGACAATTGCATACGTTATAATAAACCTGTCAACGTTATTCGGTGGGGTCAAGGTACATCAGGCGATGGTCGTGCCCTTGTCAAATGTTGCGATGGTGAGGAATTGTACTCCGACTACGTAATAGTCACAGTATCGTTAGGGTGTCTAAAATGCCAAGCCGACAAGTTATTTGCTCCTCCACTTCCAGTTTGTAAGTTGGATGCAATTTGCAATTTAGGTTTTGGCCTTAGTGATAAAATTTTCCTGGAATATTCTGAACCGTTTTGGGTGTGCCAAGAGGGTAACCTTAAACTTGCTTGGTCGGCAGAAGAACTGCAATCTAGAACAGATTGGACAAGAGGAGTGTGTGCAATCGACGAGCTTCCAGGTAGTAAACACGTACTTTGCGCTATAATTTCTGGTCAAGAAGCTGCTGTGATGGAATCAATGGCAGACAATGATGTCGCAGAAGGACTGACTCAATTATTGCGCAGATTCACTGGAAATCCTTGCTTACCATATCCACAAATGATGTTACGATCTAGATGGGCAACAGATCCACATTTCTGTGGTTCATATTCTTATATGAGTTGTTGTTCGACTGTGAGTCACCAATGTGAGTTAGGAACACCTGTGCCAGGCCCCTGTGACCCGACGCCACCCATTTTGCTGTTTGCGGGAGAAGCAACAGTCCCAGGTTATTTTGCGACAGCGCACGGTGCACGACTGAGTGGTATTCGGGAAGCTGAACGAATTATCTTATTAACGAAAAAGTTTGAAGGTCCGCCAAAAAGTGCCTAATCTACGTCTGTCTTACATTAGTATTGTATTTCCTTTGTCTTTTGAGTAGCTGTACCTACTTATGATGTTTTTATATGACGTTTTTACAAAAAACTGTTATATTAAATGTGAGTTACCTGTCTACTGCAATTTCGTTTACTAATTCGACGGTCTACGATATAGGTATCTACATGCCCATCACTTATTAATAATTATTGAATTTCCTGCGTGGGAAGTACCTAATCTACAGAAACGAACACCTAATGATAAGAAGAGTTTGGACGTGCTAATCTGTAGAACTACCGGTCAGAATAAATAAAATTCTTATAAATCTAATAGATTAACATTTAACAAATATCTAAATCATATTTATCTATTGGTAATTTGCAAATAAATAAATCCGACGGCGTTTTTGCTGCATGGTTGGTGTGGTGTCTAAGCTAGGTAGGTAGGTACTGACTTATCGGAACTGACCGATTTTTGCTGTAATCTACAAATTGTTGATTATGTTTTGAACCTAAGCGTGTTATGATTGCAATCATCATCAACAACAAATAAATAATGTTCTCTATAAGTATATAGGCACTAAATAGTCTTTTTGGCCTTTCAAGTTCAAATCTGATCAATTATCTACCTACCATTATGTTACAGCCACGAGACGACGTATAGGTAAATAAGGCAATTTTTGTTCGAGGCTAGATTAACCCGCCACGGCGCCCCTAGTTTCCGGCTGACTTACCGGACCGGGTGTTTCGGGAAGTACCTGTGTCGCATAGGTCGGTCGGGAGCCGACGTCTCAGTGCCACCATTGTGGTGATTGGCGCGACGATATAGCGCTGCATACGTTGGCGGAGTGCCCAGCTTGGGCCGAACAGCGCCGAGACCTGGTCGCGGCCGTAGGTGCTGGGGGAAATCTTTCGCTTCCGGCTGTAGTGTCTACTATGGTCGGGAGCGAGACAGGGTGGAGTGCCGTCGCTACCTTCTTGGAGGCCGTGATGCTCACAAAGGAGGCGGCGGAAAGGGAGAGAGAGGCCAGCAGCAGGCTTCGAGGCGGCGGCGCCGTGTTCCGCGCGTGCTTTATAGTGAAGTCCCGCGGTCGAGGTGACGGCCGCAATGGGTGACGGGGCCCGTCTGACTATCTGGCGGGCCAATACCCGCCAGGGGGATGCGATGAATGCTTCGGCGATACCCGCCGCTCCGACACATGGGTAAGTGGAGGAACACCATATTGGGTTTTAGTCAGTAAGAGTATGATAGTACCCTTCGCCCTTGTCCGAGGGCTATGGGTCTCCACGATTTTCCAAACCGATACCAAAAAAGGCTAGATTAACCCGCAGGTAGAGTAGGCAAATCCCGCATCGCTGGGGGCCCCGAAGCAGAAGAACACGCTAAAAATCCAATGCTTATAATATTATAAATGGTAAAGTAAGTCTATCTATCTTTTCTTCACGCATAAACTACCTACTGGATGTACCTACGTCAGGATTGAGGAGCCACATAAGATTTTTTAAATCTGATTTCACTGTTATTTAGTAGCAATGAAGCCTATTTTGTCGCACGATTTCTAGATTTAGCTATTATTTCGATTTTATTTTAATGAAATGGTGGCTTCTTAATCTGAACATCTGGATTGAGGAGCCTCCTGGAACTCGTTAAATAAAAGATGGATATTAATGAACATTTTGAATCATTCAGCAGCAGTTTTGCTTCAGTAGGTAGCCCTAAAATGAAAGAAAATACGATACTTTTAATATGGCGCAGCACAAGCACCGCCACCGTAGACTGCGTCTGCGCCTGCATCAGGCGGAAGGTGAGGACGCCGGTACTTTGGTAATTGGTACCTACATTTCACATTACCTTCCTATGTAGGTACTAAAATGCAAAAAAATGTTAATAGAGTTCAACGGGGTAATACTTAGATACTACGTAGAAGTATTTTCGAACATATTTTCACCCTTTTCCTGTATCTATTCACCTCCTCCTTGCGTTGCATTCCTCATTGCTGGTCGTTCACCTTAGGTATTATGTCGCTGGCGGAGGGCATTGTGGATAGTGGAGTCTAGAGCCATGCATGGATTTGAGCGAGGCATTTTCCCACCCACTTTTCCGTTGACAATAATCACATAGGTATTCACGTAGCACACGGTCACAATAATCTATTTAACCTACGAATCTTATTCACCCCCTTTTAAAGTACCTACCTAAGTCAAGTAGCTATTCTAAAACATGGGTATTTTAGTAAAGATTTCAGTTAGATTTTACTGGTTTAGGCCATATCTAAATCATGACAAATTAAGTCGAGAGTGGTCTGCTCTACAGGCGAGGGTGAAAAAACGGTTTGTATGAAAATAGTTCGTATAACTGATTTTATTGTTGTTTTAACTATCTACATACAGGGACAAATCAGCACATAGTGAGTAGAAGTGGTATCGAAGTTTGGCCGTGCATCTAATGACAATTTTTTTCACATCTCTAATTGCGAATGTGAACCTCAACGTCAACAAACACACACACACACCGCCGCGCGCTGTACTCACATTGTTTAGCTTCACTTTGAATACAAATGACTCGTTTGTAGATACATGTTTACATGCACAAGCTACGTAAGGATGCATGGTCTGATTACCAAAGTCATTGACAAACGCCTGTTTTGGTCTGTTGGATTTGGATGATTAGATGTATGTATATGTCAACAAATAAATATTTCTCAATTCATTTCATATTTTTTTATTAGTTACGCCTCATGGACCGTTAATCGAAATACATTTATGTTAAATACATCATTGTACCTTACATTAAACAATGTCACCATACACAATAAATACTTAGAAACTATTAAGATTTTTCAGTATTTATAAAGTAAATTAAATACAAAGTGAGACATGGCACAGTTACAAACAATATTTTAAACCACCAAGGAAACTACCACCATTTGCAGCACTAAATGGAACATCATCAAATTCAAAAGTCACTTTCTGTCCAGCATAATGCCTGTCTCTAAATTCTACAACATATGAATTTGGATTATGTCTATTTAAAAGCCAAACAAAACTTATTTTGTACCATTCATCTTTTTTTATGAAGTAAGGTTCTGTGAATTGTATGTCAACCAATGAATCATATTCAACAGTTTTTTTAAAGTTGTCGCGTATGTTATCTTTATTATTTGACTCACACATAATAGAAACACCCAACTGCTCTGAGTATATTTTAGCATTATTACTGCGGAAAAGAACAGGTGGTGTCATTCTTGTTGGTATACAAAGTGAATTTATAAATACAGATTTGTTAGCTTTTATCCGACAATGAATGGCAAAATTATTTGAGTCGATAATTATTGGTGCTACTGATCTTATAGGGCTCCGAAAACAAAAGTGCCATTCCAGATTTAATGAATTTCTTGGAATACTAATCAAGCCAATTGAATCAATGACATCATTTTCATTAATGTTAGCACTTTTGAGAACTTCTTTTATAGACTCATATTCATGTGGAAGTAATAGATTATTTACATTAGCTACAATTTCTTCAAGTTCTGTTGGTTTCAGTGACAGAAATCTTAGTAATTTGAATAAACCATGTTTCTTAAGCACTTCACGTCTGTTTTCAAACATATCCAGGATGTTATTTTGTTCACAGCAATGTATAGTCCATTCAAACACATGTTTGATGAGATCTTTTTCTGATATATTCATACGGTCACACTCAAGAAATGCCTTCAGACAAGAATAAGTTATAGAGTCCTTTTTCTCCTGCAATATGTAACCAGCATGTTGACAAAACAGTTTGAGAGAATATGATATAAGTTGCTTGTCTTGTAAATAGTCTGGGTAATTTAAAATCTCAACTACATTGTCAACACTTATATTATCTTTGATATGAGCAATACACAGCTCCGTCAGGTGCTCCAGTAGATATTTTCTTGAGGCATATAATAATTCAAAAGCATGCTCAATACTGCTGATTTCAACTTTATCAGTGTAAATGTAGTTGAGAATTAATTGAAAAATGTCAGGATGAATGTCTGTTATCTGGATATCATCATCAGAAGATAGGGGACCATAAAACATAGCTTCAAAAACAGGACTACTGATGCCCAGAATCAATTTGTGTGCTTTGAATTTCTGCCCTGCCACAGAGAAGGTGCAATCACTCCATTCATATGACACTAACAATTTCTTGACACGGTCATATAAACTTGTTTGGTTGTATGTAGATTGGTCTGCATTCAGATAGACCATCTGTAACAAGAAATAAGTGGCTACTACAAACAGCTTTTGTTTTTGTTACACATAGGCTGCTAGCTAGTTTTTATCCCTGTATCCTTCTTAAACAGGTTTTGTAATTAACTTTTTAAGATCATACAAAATTTATAATCTCAATATCTTAAGCAAAAAAATCACATTTCAAATTTACAATAGTTTAGTGACTCAATAATAAAAACATTTTAATATTGAGATCGTGTTATATACCTAGATTCAAAGGTCAAAGACCTTTTTTTTAATATACAGTTATGTGGAACGTTTTCTTAAAATGCATGTTCTAAGACGTAATTTAAAATGACATCTATATTTTCGCTTTATTTTAAAGAATATACAAAAATACAAAATTATTGTCTTACCTTTGTATTTGGTGGTATATTTATTTAGGATCCAATTTTAACCTTGAACTTGAGATGATCACGCGACTGAGTAGGGAGGCGAAATATACTTTGTATGTTGTGATCTTCTTGTTAAAATAATAAAACTATAACGTATTATTATTCATATAACTTCAATTACAAAGAAAGCTCTAAAAAAAGTATTCGCTCGTATGACTTGCTGCTAATGACAGCACTCGATCGATGATCCTACGAAGTACGAAATGCTCAAAATGTTTGCAAACAATGATTTGATTTCAACATGTTTTGTTTGAAGTTTGACAATGTCAAGGCATCTGTCATGCATGGTATTTTGCGACCCAAAATAGAGAAGCGACACTATGACATCTGCATCATATCGACATTGTGATTGTGTGATACTGACATTAGTCATTTCATGAAATCAGTTCACACATATTTAGACACTTTTACGGTAACACCGTAAGTATAATATCATTGTCGTTTCCACCTTAACACCCCCTAAGTGTGAGTTGCGAATACCTATTGAAAGATCGAAAATAATAGTTATTCTACGTGGCTTTCAAGGTGAAATAAAATTCGACAGTTAGTAACTTTATTAGTTTACATTTAATTTTGAACAGGTGTATATTTAATGAATGTCCATGTATGAAATAAATATTGCTTTTGGATATTAACAAAACAAGTCGCGTACCGACAAATTTATGAAATCAGGACGTACTGGCGCTACTCAACACGACACGATATATTTGGATATCTTGATAGAGAAGAGAAAAAGTACTGTCATTTTACTATTGGCAGCACTGATCAATTTCAATCAATTTTCTTTGCTTGGCTGTCAGAAATGTCTGAATGATGTTTTGTGACTTTTGTGATTGTGTGATTGTGCCTTGCTTGTTTCATGTTCGCGCGCCGGTGAAAAAATGTGATAAAATGTGTATAATTTAACCACAGTTACCTATTTTGTTTTCAAGTTATTACGATGAGTGCTTCATTCGAGGATACAGTGTTTGATTTTGATTTAAATTTTCTCAATCAACCTACAACATCGAACACGGTAAGTTTTATAGGTTTAAGGTTAGAAGTATGGTGTTGTTAAAATATTTTTTTCATACTATTTATTCAGATTTGAATGTAAGCTTTGTTTAGTTCATTGTTTATAGACATCAAGATTTTTTTTTATATTAAATTGACAGAAATTTAGAAAGTAATGTTATGCGTAATGGTATTTGATAGCGCTAGTTAAACATTGTTTGTACATGTTAGGATATAATGTATCAGGCATTATTTATATTATATACTACACAATTGTACCTTTTTTTAAAAAGTTTTCATGTCTAAACATGCAAATATAGTAAATTAATTTTGTTGGTTATTTATGCAATTGCGAAAATGTGGCCAAATTTAATGTACCGACATGTAGTATTTGTGTGCTAAAGCTAGGCTAGTAATCTATAATACTCAATACATGGTTGTACTGAGAAATACAATGCATAATGTTAAAACACTGAAACAATAAAGACTAGTAATGAGCAAAGCGTAGAGCCTGTTTTACTACAGCTGATTGACTGTTAGCTTTATGGACTGTGATGATGATGATGACTGACTGACTATACATGACTATAATCTGTCTAATTCATCAAACCCCAAGTGAAAGCCAGTGTTTGCATACCTATTGTTCTTTATAGTGTCTTAAATTACCATGATTGATATGTTAATACCCAAATTCATATAAAATGGAGATTATGAATGCACATGAAAACTTTGCTTAATACAAATAATTTATTTCATTCGATTTTTTTTGATCATTTATTTATTTTGTATTTCAGGAACAAGAAACTCAGACAAGATTAGAAAAGCTCAGGAGATCCATTATTTATTTGAAAAAGAAAGTGGTTTTTGCTGAGTGAGTGTCCAGAATTAATAATAATAATTGTAGATAATATCAATTCATTGAACATATCTGTTGCAATAACAAAAATCAATCTACTGATGTTTCTCACGCAACTATTAAAGTGCCCTAAGCAGCCAGCCTACCCCTACTGAGATGTTTACATCTCTCCCTCATTCTGTTCTGCTTACGCCTTCAGGCAACAACATACCTCCTAAACTATAACAATGAACTCCACTTCTGCTATTTCATAAATATATATTTTTTTTATTTCATCAACCCAAATCTAGCAGTATCAAGATAAATGTATAAATAATTTGTGAATTTACTTTTCAGCGCTGCTGTGTGTAGATATAAAACTGCAAGACATTATGCAAGGGTATTGGAAAATAATCAATTGTACACCAATGAGGGATGTAAACAACATCTTATTGAAATAAGAAATTTCATTGACAAAGTGGGCAAATTAGAAACAGTAAGTTGAGTTTTTATGTTATTTGTATAGTTCACACATATTTTAAGTCAAATTTAAGTTATCAATATGTAAGTTTTATTGCTGTATCAACATGTAGATGTATTGTAGGCGTATATAGCTAAGAATTAGTCTTTCTACTCAGCTAAAAGCAATTTAACCTTGAAAACCATGATCTTTTTAAAATAAAGACTTGATTAAAGTTACTCTTCAATCATGTTCTGATGGCATTGCTGTAGATATGGTATGTAATACAAGTCTTGTTTTGCTCAACAGGAAAATAGACAATTAGAAGAAAAGCTTAAAGAAAAGAATAATGAAATCGGTGATTTACAAAACAAGTATGAAGCTCTAGAAAAATCAGGAAACCAGGTTCAGGTACTGTGCAGTTTTATATAATCATTAGTTATTTTAACTCTCCATAGCATGCAATATTAGTATTTTATGAAAATACTCCATGTTACTAGTATTAAAAATTATAGAAAAATGATATTAATTAAATATTTCAGTTGTTGCTGTTAGAGAAAAGTAAAGCACAGGATCCTACAAAGGTTTACTCTAATGTTGACAAAGAAAAGAAAAAAGATAATTGTAAATCTTGCAACAAGAATCAACTAAAATATGACCTGCTTGATAAAGAAGTTGAGACTCTACGCAGGGACAATGTTAAACTTTCAAGATTAGAGAAGGAAAATGAGAAGCTTCGTAGGGAGAATGCCAGAATACCAAGCTTAGCACAAGAAATTTTGCAACTTCGTAAAGAAGTTTCTGACCTTGTGACACCTGAGTCCATAAATGATGGAATCAAAAAGGCAACTGCGAAAATACAATTTTTGCAAAAAGAAATTGATGAATTACAAAAGGAAAATAGTAAAATAGGAAAGTTGGAAAAAGAAATTGAAGTACTTCGTTCTGAGAATGCCAAAGCTAAAAACTTTGAGAAAGAAATAGGGAAACTTCACAGAGAAACTGCTAAGATTCCAAAGTTGAGGGAGGAAAATGAAGAACTACGGAAAGAATGCACTAAAGTTTCTAACTTGGAGAAAGAAGTTTCAGTACTTGGTGTTAAGAATGCTAAACTTACGAATTTGGAGAGGCTACACAAGAGTCTATGTGATCAGCTTGTTAAAATCCCAAATAAGGGGAGAGATTTGGAAAGTCTTTTGTCGCGTTTTAACTTGGAATTTACAGTAACAGGTGAGATTTTATTACTGTTTACGACATGTTCATAATATATCATTTTTGGTAATGTAGGCACAGACAGTAGCCTGTGTTTGCAATGTTAATTAATTTATTGTAATTAACAGCTAAGCTTGAAATTAACAATATTATTATGTCTATGCTTATAGGAAATACGATGATTCTGTTCTAATATTCTTTATAAATCTTGCAGGTACACCACCAAAGCAGGGCACACATAAATCTATTCATAATGATACCACTGGAGGGGACTCTGTAGAAGATGAAGATACAGTTGTACCACTTACACCAGTCTGCACAATGCCCGTAAGTCATAAAGTTAATACAAGTTTATTAAATTCTCACAGCTACAGTACATATGCTAATAGTAGCTTTGTTACCAATAGAAAATAAATGTGGCATTATGATTTTTTGAAAAGATTTTGCGTTGCACATATAACATAATTATGACTTTATTTGCAGGACAAACAACCTCTTGTTAAAACTACACCTGAACCACAAGAATTTAATGATGATAATATTGATGAAGTTAATTTGGTATCTAGTCGCAAATCTTCCCTTGACAACTCCAACATTGAAACACCATCAAAATCTCTTATCAATGTTAAAGATAGTATTATCACCAGTACTGTGCCCGTTATAGTATACAATGAAAACCAAGGTATCAATCGAAATAAGAATGCAACTGTAAATCATCACGCTCAAAATGTGTCAATTGTGTCAATATGTGTTCCAAAGGACATGACCAGTGCAAATAACTCACAAGAACATACTACATCAAAATCTGAAGTTAAAGAAGGCATATTAAGTGCAACCATTCCGACAATTGTGTTCAACCAGAATTTGGATATGACCTGCAAGAAAAATAAAGTTGAAAATCAGAGACATTGTGGTCAGATTGAGAGGTTAGATAATGATAACCAGTCAAAAGATAATGCTAATGTTTCTCCTATTATGTACAACGAAAATATTTGCCATGATGAAAATGTAACAAAAGATAATGCTCGAAAAGATTCCAGTGTTCCAAAAAGAGTACTGAGCAATAACACACCTATTGCTAATAAGTCAGAAAATAAGCCTAACGGAAGTGGTTTAACTGCTACAGTTCCCACTATTGTATACAATAAGAATCTAAACATTTCCTCTAATGACAATGCAGTCGCGGGTCAAGGTAATCACAGTCAGAATTCACATAAAAATACAAAGATTGCAAGAGAGAGAGAAAGTCTTGAATTGAACAATAGCAAAGTGTGCGCAAACAACATTGAACTAGAGTTAGAAAATATATTCAGTAATATGAAAATGTCCTTTAATGCTGTGACTCCCATTCCGAAAACGCCGACGAGAATAACTGAAGAAAGGAATACGCCAACGAGAATAACTGAAGAACGGAATACGCCAACGAGAATAGCTGAAGAAAGGAAGACGCACACGAGATTAACTGAAGAAAAAGAAGAAAGGATTAGTGACCCCACTGAAAAGCTACTAAAATGCATGATGTTAAGCGATAAGAGTGATAAACTTCTACTTAAACTAAAAGAATACATGCACGGCTATACTAAAGACTTATTTTGCCAAGCAAATCCTAAATTTGTAGCCCAGAAACATTTTTACGGATCGGAAACCAAAAATACGAGGTGTAACATAGATAAATTGATTCAATGCTTTGAAACAATCTTACGATCCAAACAGATCTTAAGTGAAGATTCTACGAATACACAACCAAAGTTACAAATATTGGAGGAAACTACTTGCTCCAATGATGCTAATAATTTAGAATCAGTAACAAATAAAAATATGCCAGAAACAGATGTATATTGTTTGCCTGAAGATGTGCAGAATATGCATGCTGATACAAACTTATATGATGATACAGACTTATTTGATAATCCAGAAATAATTCAAGACGATACTCATACTTTACAAAACCATCAAGAAGAATTGTCTGAGCTGTCAAGCGAAAACATAGAATCGTCTGCAACACAATTACCAGAAAAAGATATAATTATTTTGCATAATTTACAAAATGAGGATAGGTTCTCTCAAATATCGAAACCTGATAAAGTTAATAGAAAACAAGAAAAAATGCGCAAAATGCCAGTTTCTGATAGATCTAATGTGAAAAGTAAAATGTATAAAGCTACTGATAGTGTAAGACGTTCCAATACCGCCGCACAAAAGAAGAAACCACCCACGAGAGGCGTCAAAAAAGTTAAATGTAAGAAACATACACAGTTGGATAAATTGAAAAGACGTCTTGCACCAAAGTACAAAATTAGGAGAGAATCTCCGTTGTTACGAAAATCTATGCCTCCACCGACGAATATAAAGCCAAAATCTATGCCTCCACCTAAGAAGACAGTATCAGCAAATGATACCTCTGCATCACTCAATGATAAAGAAGTTTATGAGAAAGCCGTGAAAGTTATGGCCGAAATAAATTCACAAAAGTCTAAAATTCTAAAATCGCCGCCTGTAAGAAGAAAATCTATGCTATCTTCAGCACATACAATTGGAATGGAAGATGATATTGTTGTAACGCCTAATTCACCACCTAGAATGACTCGCGCTATGTCTTTAAAGCTTAGTGGTTTGGAATTCGACAGTGATACTGATAATGATGAAGTACCAATAGTGTCCAAAGATGCAAACGCTTTACCATCTCCAAAACCCAGAAATACTTCCGATAAAGGTACTGGGATTACCACGCCTATTACATGTAAGAATACTTTGCATATTACAATTGACAGTAATGTCAATAATGTACCAAATTATACACCTATACCAACAGACACACCTTCTTCAAAGCTCTGTGATTCTCAAATTTTTGATAGTGAGGATTTAGTACCAACTTCGCCACTTGAAGAACCAAAATCACCATTTACTTACAATATTGAAAATACTAGCGGTGATAAAGTTATAAGCAAGGAACCTAAAGAAATAAAAACATCCACAAGGCTTGAAAGTATTACAGAAATTGAAGTAAATAGTAGCAGCAGTGATGTTGTATCAAGCTTAACACCAAAAGAACCGGCAACTATTATAAATACTACGCACGGAAATGTGAATAATGACGATAAAATGCACAATGCCAGCAAAAATTGTGTTAAACAATCAAATTCACCACCTAGAACTATTAGGCGTAAGAGTAGCTTGCAAATTGATATAAATGCCAATGGTGCTAAAGAACAAAATATATTATGTGTTGAATCTGATACTCCACTGTCTGCCAGAAGTGTTGTACAGTCTGAAATAAATAGCAGTGGTGGTGAAGTACCAAAATCGCTTACAAAAGAACCTAATACTTCACTGTACATAAGCCAGAATTCTTCACAAATTCTTATTAATAAAAGTGGAGATATAGCACAAAATTCACAACCTCAAGAACCAAAAAGTCCATTATCACCAAAGCTGATGAGGTCTGTGCAGCCTGAAATTCATAATGAAGCAAATAAAGAATTGCATTCTCCGCCGAGACCGACAAAAACACCCTTGTCTCCAAGATTGAGGTGTTTAACGCACAACTTAAACAACAATAGTATTTCGCCACTCAAACAAACCAAGTCTCTGTTATCTCCCAGAAGTAGTATGCAAAATGAAATAGATCAAGTACCACATAAGATCTTGGTCACACCAAGAACTAAGAGAAAAATTTCAGAATTATTTGATAACTGTGCAGTAGTTTTGACAAAAGATGAGAATATATTGGGTTATGTTGCAAATAAAAGCGTACATGCCGAAAAGGCTCAAGAAGGAAATGAGCCGGACAATGTAACCGCAGCAAGAAGAAAACGCAGGTCTTCTTCTGATGAACCTCTCGTGCAACCAAAGAGAACATTGCGTAGTTCCAATCAAAAGGGAGAAAATGATAGGAAGTCAGTAGAAAATACAAGTACAATAGAAAATACTTCCAAACTATCACAAAGCCCGAAACTTTCTACTCCTCAAAACAGTAAAATTGTTAAGTATGATGATTTGGATATGTGGTCTGATGATGATCATCAGGAATCAAATCATCTTCATCATCAACAGGAATTAGTTCATGATCAGGAATCAGTTCCTGTAAATGAAGCAAATACAGAGATTTGTCATCCGAAGGACAGTATTTTGTGTTGTATGATAGAGAAATATGGAGTGGAATCTGTAAAACCATTTGCAAAGAAACCTTCAGGTATGACATTTTATGTAAAATCATATAATTATATAACTAGTTTACTCAATACTGGATAAGTTCTTTTGCCTTTTCTTTGTTTGTAAGTTGCTTATATAATTGATTTTGCGTTGTGCATTTTTATACACGACTTTTTATTATTTTTTGTCATCTTTTTACAGAACACGCAGTTAAGCAGATATGCGAAAAAATTGAAAAAGAAATTTCACTTATATCAGAACTACCAATGAACGAAACAAAAAATGCTATGAATAAGTTCGTAGCTGATTTGAGAAAATTAAACCACAAGCTCTTTATAAGCGGCATGATGAAGTATTTAACAAAACCAGAGAGGAAACAGGAATTATTTGGAAAAATATCTTTAACTGCTGCCCCAGCTATGACTAAGGCTGAACAAATCCTTCTCTATGTCATAGCACAACTAAATACTCACTGGCCTTTGGACATTGTCGACGCAATACTGTCGAATATTGAGTACACGTTATTTAGATTAAACAGGACACCAGAATTTGATGTGATTGAAAGTATGTCGCACTTCTATGCTCTTCTATGCAGATACATTGGAGCTAAAAGCCGTTTAAGGCTGTTTATCCTAGATGCTATGTATTGCATTCAGTATAAATCTGTGCCTTTGATAAAGCAGTGTATTGAAATATGGATGCATATAATACCATTAGCACATATGGGTATAGGTAAGTTATTGTTTTAAATTACATAATCGCACACCACATACGATGTGGTGTCAGAATATTTAAATTTCCAGAAGGTCTAAAATAACACTTCTTTTTGCAGCCAAAAATCCCCTGGTGACATGTTTGGTATATCTGCTACATTTCTATAAGTGTGAAGACAAATTGAACAGAGTGCAAGACATTAGAAACATATTAAGTCGAAAATATTTCTATCAAATCACAGATTGGAATGAGACAAAAATTCTAGAAATGTTTAAAAACTCTATTAAGGATTTAAAAGGTAAGGTAAAAGGCTTTAAAAGGTATTTGCTTTTCAACCTTTTGTTTGTCGGTTTATGAGAAACAATAGAAAACACATTGTGTCTCGTGTATATCCCGCGTTAATATGCATCATTACCATCTTTCAAAAGTCTGCTGAGAGACCTTAATAAAATCGTAATATGAATGATAAATAGCTTCAAAACTGCGAAATTAGATATGGTTTCGTATGGAAAGGTTTTTGATGAAAAGTTTTTTGTTTATGTAGCAATGCTTAGGATGTAAAAATCGACTCTGCTATTTCAATCTCAATAGTTATTCCTGCGATTGTGTTTCAGATGTTCCAATTGACAAGAAAACTTTAAGATTGGCCCTGATTATTCTTGCTAAACGACATGGACCGCGCTGGTGTCAAAATAATATCATTAAGAATTTACTTCAACCAATGATTGAAAAAGAGGGTGTATCTGACAATGTGAAAGAATTTTGTGTGTCCATGATTGGACCCCTGATGAAACCATATCCAGTTGATATGAAAATATATTGTGAGATAGCTATGAATCAGCTTACTGATATCCTTAACAACAATCGTAAGTATAATACTATATACATATTTTAAAATTAATTTGAAATTAGTCTTTCGATCCTGTAACCTGAGATTATTATAAACATTTTTTTTTTCAGCATCACCGAAAATGGAAGAAGCTGCCATCACCAGTATGTTGTTCATAAACAGACATAACCAAGATAGTATTAACAAAATACTTTTAACGCGTAGGATGAAACCATTGTCACCGGAACTCGAGAAAACTCTATGCGATTATGTAAAAACAAAGCCATTAAAGGTGTGGAAGAAACATCTTTCGATAATAGCTCGAGTAACTTAAAATAGTTTCAGATTTTTGTGTTATATTAATTTTACTAAGTTGACTATCTGCCAAGCAGATATACGTGTAATATATTATAGTTAATGTGTAGTTTTATTAGGTGTGTTTTAACAGCTGTCCATTTTGGTAATGGATATATTAACTCTTATGTGTAGAATTTATAAAAATAAGTATCTGCGATTTAGTATTTTAGAGTAAGAAATTGTCTTTCTAATTAAGACAAAAGAATAGTCATAATTTAAGGATTTCGGGTATAACCATACATAGTGATTAGTTAGTGGTAATTTCATGTAAGTATTTTATAAGTCTCTAATTTATATCAACTGATATTAATATAAGATATAGTGTTCTCTATGTAGGTAAAATACTATTTAGCAGATATGTAATCGATCTCATTAAAATATGCTTCTCTAATCTGTATGCATACCTCAATGCGAGAATTATAGATTGGCGTCTAGATGTACCTCTTTCAAGTTATTAATATAGAACAAGAACTAGCAGTCCAGCTAAAAATGTGGTTTGGTTTTTGGAGAAGCAATTATCAGTTTATTTCATACTAGCGGTTCGCTCCTGCTTCGCACGGGTATCCAAGTATTTTCCCAGTGGCTGTTTCCCCATCTTTCTTACCACTTTTCTAAAGTTTTCTATCTTCTTATAATAACAAACGATAAAAAATAATTGGCAAAATAGGTCCAAGCGTTGTTGAGTTATGCGCCAACACTTTTTGCGATCCTTTATTGTAATTTTTTAAATGATGGATCTGTTTGGATGCGTTTTCGTACGTAGAAATTGTGAATTTCGTTAAAAATAATCTGTTTCTGTCAGTGTAAATATTTCACAACACATGGTACAAATATTATCTACATAACATGAGGTTTATTAAAATTCTTACTAGTTTAAATTGTACCAATTTAATTGTAAGACCACTAAGTATAACAACTTGTAAATTCAAATGAATAAAACCCATATTTTATGCTATATTAAGTTTTATTTAAACTTCCATTCTCAAAAAAGTTAATTCTATTATTATAATTAACACATTCAGTGCCCCCGACGCCACAGTATAAATATCATACAGTATTGTAACTCGGCCGCTTGAAAGAAATAAATACCTACAGCCGCGCGGTACGTAAACATGCGTAAGGGCTGCTCGTCTCCAGTATTTTAATAACCTTTGTCTACTTTCTGTTTCCATTTAGTTTTGTTATTGTAAATATCCTTTTTTTATATAAATAATAAAGTGCTTTAAAAATAAACAAACAAAATTTCTTTGGCCACTAATGCCGAACTGAACAGCTGACTACGAATGTTCTAAAATCACAACCCTCAAACATCAAAATATTACATGAGTCTAGCTGTTTTATTGTTGTTATTAAATATTTTCTAGTATTATTCATAAACGCAGATAATAAACAAATATTATTAATAATAAAATACCACACTCTCTACTTTGAATTATACAAACTAACAAAACATACATGAACCGTTTTAACACAAGCGTAAGTAGGTAGGTACCTAACGTATCATGATTCATTCAGAACCAGAACCGCCTATAACTACATATTTCACTCGTCTCAATAACTTTATTCATATTATTTATAAATTCAAACATCTGTTTTCGTGAGATAACTGGAAATAATGATCCATAAAGACACACATTATGTACCTACCTAGGCTACTAGTAAGTAAAATTATTTTATAGTCTTACCTTTCAGTTTCCAGGTAATTTAAAAAATTTAATTAATTATGTCTGGATGCGTTATTGACGAATTCATGCAACCAAACATAATAACAGCACAATATTTCCTATTCGTCATATTAAATAATGTACTCGAGCCGATTTCTAAATAAAAGACAACACACCGTCCGTTCGTCACTGCGGTACAGCCGCGTCTGTCTGCGTCCCGAGCGCGTCCCGACATCGGGCGCGTAGGTATAGTTCGCGTTTCGGCCGTTTCTATGAAGTTGAAATACTTGTAGATATTATTACCTTGCCGACGCGTATGTGCGTGCGAGGAAACGCACATACGCGTCGGGGGCACTGAATGTGTTAAAGTCAGTGTCGAACACAGAATGCGTTTAACATTTGGTGATTAATTTACAATAAACAAATGATGCAGTTTGTTTGTATCCATAAAATGACATAGAAGAAACCATAAAAACATTTCATAGTCATTTATTTTTGACGTGACGACTATTAAGTACTAGCTTGTGCCCGCGACTCCGTTCTCGTAGAACAGCGACTTCCTGCAGATTTTTAGTATAAAAACTATCCTATGTCCTTTCTCGAGTTTCAAACTATGTCTACCAAATTTCACAAAAATCAGTTCAGTAGTTTAGGCGTGACGAAAAGGCAGATAGACAGACAGACAGCTGGTTATTAATCCACTCAATTAACGGGCTAGTCAGTTTACGCAATAAAATTCTGATAGCTGTTTATTTGTAATGGCTGCGGGTAAATAGGGCGGGAGAAGTTTTAAAAATAAATAAAGAAGTTTAGATAATGATATAGTGTATTACCTTAAGCAAAAAATTAATATTTTAAATAATTACATTCAATAAAATAAGTACGGTATATATTTAATTCATCTTAATAGTTTGTTTTATATTTTTTTATTTCTACCATAATCACATGGATGTTGACTAATTGTGTTCGTGCATTAGGAGTTAGCAACTTAGCGAACTTGTGGTAATATTGAACAAAGTTCGTTAGAGCCATTTGCAATAGGCCAGACCCGGTAACAAGATTTGGAAAGGAAACAAGCACTTCTCTGTGAATTTCCTCAAGGCTCTGTTTCCACCCAGAGCTGAATGATGCTACCAACGAAAGTGATTTTCGTTCTAAATTTGCCAACTCTGTTTTTTTATCAGAATCAAGTAATTGTTCACCTTCCTTGACAAACTGTATCATTCCTCCAAAATGGGGGCTTAAAATCTCCTCGACATATTCCGAGCTTCTAGCTTGCAGCTGTTCCCTAAAGCTTTCCGCCTCTTTTGTGTTATCTCTTGTTCTTTCCATTAATATACTCAAGATCATGTCATAGTTATTAATGAGGAAAATTAATTGCTGTATCCTTTGTGGAAATTCAGCTGCCATTTTAAGTAAAAAGCAATTGACTTCATCTTGTAGAACAAGCAGAATATTACTGAGTTCTTCTGAAGGAAATTGTTCACTAAGGCTCAGCATAGCAGCAGAAAATTCGGCATATCTCCGGGTTATCTGCGAAAACGAATATATAACAATATGACAGCTTGTAATATAAATAGCAATGTAGTAAATCGAAATTGTTTTTTTTTTTGATAAATATAATTTAATAATATAAAATTCTTACATAGTGAGGCCCTAATTCTTTATTGGATAATTTTGCAGGATCACATTCTCGTACACTCTGAATGTTTAATTTCAGAACATGTTCTAACCGTGGCCATAATGTGCCTTGGAGTGAGTCCCAATAACTGAAATTGATAAAATATCATTGATACTAGTTTTAAAAGAAAATTAAAAGAGAGCAATGTAAATTGCAGTATAATATTTGTTACCTGTCTAAAGCACCAACTGCTCTTTTGTGACACATCCATCGGTATCTGTTTATAAGTTGAATGCATAGGTACAAAGCAAGGCAGTCATAACATTCAAGAACATAATTTTCTACATTTTTCTGTAACATAAAAACATGTCATCAATATACCATTTAAGTTTGTTAGAATTTATTGTAATAATGGCATGGCATAAAATAAATGCTTCATACCACAAGCAAGGATAAAGTTTTCCCAAGGATTCTATCAAACAATTCCTGTGCATGACTTCCTTTCACATGGAAGAATTCTGTTGTGAATAAATATTCTCTGCAACCATTGTCCACAAGTGCATATTGGAGACTTCTGAAGAGGGCTTCATATGAATACTGCAAAGATATAATACAAAAACTATATACATAGTATTCCCGAAGAAGTAAATCAATTAGTTAGTCTAGCTAGAACATTTAAATATTTCTGCTACAACAATAATTATTATTATACCTTCGTTTTTTGTTGTACATGGGGTACAATAATGGGAGCTTCAAGTTGCTGAGCTAGTACATCCCCTCTGTTGCCAATTGTAAATATTGTACTTTTATTCTTTAAATTTGATTTTTGAAAGAAACCACCTTTAGATCCATCCTCAATCCCCATGAGGTCATCTTTGCTGGGAGCTTCCTCATACTTTAACTTGTCTAATCTTGAGGCATATGACTTGAAATAAGAGTAGTATACTTTGCTTAGTGTATCAATATATTCATTGCATATCTCTTGAGCAACATTTCTCTCATTGGCTAATATAAACTCAAAGAAAAACTTGTACTTAAGCATAGCATTCTGAGGTATTTGATAGTTAGCCATTGGCTTTCGGAATTTATAGATGTTCTCCAAAATGTATGCTCTAATTTTTGATACAGCTTTTATCTTTAATTTTTCCAAGACATCTTTGACATCATGGCAAGATTTAGTTTCTTTGAAGTCTTGTTCTTTCACAAAGTTGAGTTTTTGGTTCAATATTGCTAACTGCACCATAAATTCCTTATCTGTCACAGGTACATTGTTGATTCCACTGAAATAAAAATCTTGTTTTTACTAATGCAAAACGAAATAATTCATAATTATAATTTTACTACATACAATATGAGTGTTTCAGAGACTGCCATGTCTTCAATAAAAGTTGATAGAGGTCCTTTCAAAACTTGTCGATTCGAGAGTTGCACTGACATGTTCACAGAGCGCTTCTGTAAGCTTATTATTTCATTGCTGATACTACCCAGGTCATTCTGAAAGTGGTAAATAATAAGTATAACAATTTACGTCTTGCATATAGCAAACATTTAAGGACACAATTTTTATTAAAACTTACTTGGAAAACCATCAACATGCTCTCCATTTTAGCAAGGATTCCATCACAATCTTCAATCTGGTTGTGTAAAGAGGCTATATTTTCACTTTCTTTTAGGTAATCTGCTACTGATGTCTTTTCGGCATCCTTTATACCTTTGTCGAGCTGCAAGGCATACTCTCGTAAATCTGTGCCATTTCGAAGGACTTCTTGTATTTCAAAGTCTTCCAAATTTTTATCCAGTACGTCCTTAATATCCGTAGATTCCGACATTTTATAATATAACTTACAAGACTTTATTTATACTGATTATTTATATTCATTTCCATCAATATACTACGTCAATAGTTACAGTACAATGTACTTTAATAGATCTCTTAAAGTAAACAAACAAATTGTTTTTACTAATAGCAAATAAAGATATCTTCCCTGATGAAATTTTAATAAAATTATAATATGTCTCACAATATTCACAAATTTTATTTATTCGGTTTTGACATTGGCAGAAAGACAACACATACTGGCAGAGTGACAGATTATGACCAGCAATGCTTGACTTTGACACTTCAGGTATGACCAAGTTCTTGACATTTAATTCTACTAAAATTAAAGAAATTCATTAAGATGGTTTTAACGGAAAAAATATTGCTTTCTACCAGAATGCTCACTAACGATACCAGCTTGAAATGATGCCGCAATGTAATTTGTGTATTTAAATTTATACATGTTACGGTAGGAGTGAATATTTATAGATTATTAATAATTATCTATTATCTATACTAATATTATAAAGAGGTATTTGTAAGTTTGTATGTAGGGGGTAATCTTTGGAACCACTGGTTGGATTGCCAAAATTCTTTCACTGATAGCAGATAGCTACAATGTTCCTGAGTCCTATAGGCTATAAAACATCACGCTACGATCAAAAGGAGCCGAGCAGTGGGTGAAACCGCGCTAGGTATAACTGATAAATTATTCACCGTTGTCGGTTTTTATTAATATTTTGAGCCTAGTAGTGATATATGTAATAAGTATATGTATATATCAATGAGAGTATCGGGTAACTTTGTCTAATATTTGATAGCGCCTAGCGCTATTACTTTCCAGGAAACCCTTTTTCTCGCAGAGGATAATATCGTAGTACCTACTTCTGCCACGTTACCTGTTTAGTCCTAGGGGTGCTATAAGCTTTGTTGCTACATATTATAGTACATAGTATTAAAATTAAAAGCTCCTTTAAAAGATTTTTGAAAGCTTATCTTTTGACCTACTTACAAAATTACAAATATTTTATTTGATCTGGATGTCGAATTTAGCACTCATGACCAGTGATACTGTGATTTAATATTGTAATGGGCTAGTTCAATTTGTAGTAATAATGCGACTCGCATTCGATGTCGCCTAATTAATATCACGTTAATGGTATGTATAGATTGACTGGGATGACTGTAAGTATAGATTTTCTAACAGTTGGTAAACTGTAGAAAGGTAGTCTGTAAGAATACCTACCTCTGCTTAAGATGTTTAGAGATGACAGGGTTTTAAAACAGAAAATAAATAAAAGAGACATATTTCCATTGACGCATTCGCATCCATATTATTTTGACGAAATATTTACAAAGAAAATGTATAACATATCATAACAAAAGCACATTTATGTATCTATGTTGAGATTTAAGAAATGCAGTTCATTACAAACCTTACAGAAGAAAATATAATAGATAATTACTTAACATGTCACTTAGGTATAAGGTTACAGGTACACACCTATGGAGGGTAATGTGATATTTCATAAGATTCCTATCCACAATTTAAGTACCTATTCAAACATTGGGCAGCGTCGGTTGTAAGCTCCCAAGTGGAGGGAGTAAGGGCAGGATGATTCCAAGCTCTAATAGATCTAATTAATATTTTGTGTACATGAATTGATTTCATTTTCATTTCCCGAAGTGGTTGTGTCGTATCTGTGCGCGGAAATTGACATGATTATAGAATGACCTGTAGCAGCAAGAATGCTTGCATGAGGCATACATATTTAATATTAAATGGCTAGCTTGTAGGTACTAGCCAGGGCTTGTTTGTTTTATTTTTAAGCATATTTTGAAGCTTTTCGCGACAGCTTTACCACTTTGTTGGATAAATTCTTGTTACTTCGACACGCAAAATGTTGACGTAGCAGGTTTGTAATGTAGGAATGTTATTAACAGTTTTGTTACTTCGCAAAAAATAAATTGTTTCGGCATGGGTAAGGGTAACAACAGTTCAAGCACAACCGAAGTATAAGAAAGGTACAATATGTAGGTTCAATCATTAAGAAATTCGTCACCATTTAAAAATTAACGACAAATAATTTCCTTGACTACAATTATAAATCTATAAAATTAATAAAATTAGAAGGGAGTTCTGGCGTTCGAGCAAAAAGTCCAGCATTTATAAATATTAATTAAGGTTATTATCAATTTTGTATAAAATTATTAACTTCAATGGGTCTTGGGTTTGATTAACTCTACATAAGTAATAGACAACGTTTATCACTAACTCCATTTCAAAGGACACCAACATCAATAACAACAGTCACTCTCGTATTTTACAAGGAATAAATGTGACTTACCTAAGGAACATTTACTCCCCACCTACTTAATACTTATTTCAGATATGAATCTTAAATTCCTTCACCTATCTATGTACCTAATTAGTTACACATAGTTTAAAGGTTGGACAGAGCACCCAGTGGTACAATAGATACGTGCATACTTTCCGTAAATATGTTATACCTACAGTGCTGCTGCAGGTATCTAGTCTTTTAGGAGATACAAGGCAACTCTTAGTTACACTGTTATTGTTTCCACGCCGGCAGATACATAAAAAGAGTACCCACCATTGACAGATTATGATTTAAAGGTTCTTAGCGCAGCTTCTTTCAGATACACTGCACCAGGACTTTAGTTATCCTATTTGGTCCAGTGAAAAATTACACAGTCCATTCATATATGCAGTAGACAAAAATACAAACATCTGACCTGATCATATCAGCAGTATTCCCAATAGCTTTATACTTACGAGCAAAAATACACAGTGATTTTAATTTTAGCAATTTATTTTAGTGTACATTTGACTATAATGGCCTAGCTTAAATGAGATGCAAAGGATTCCAATAAATACAAGTGCAATCACAATTTTACAAAAATAACATCGTGATATGTTTAAATATTTACTAAATACATATATAATATGTATTGTAGTAAGCATATAAAAGGTTCACATAAGAAAATTCTACGCTATCTACCTATAAAGGTACTCTTTAAGACACGTTGTATTTTAAGGATTTAAGTACATTGGGGACGTCAAATATGCTGAACTTTTTCTCCGGCCTTAGGTTTAATTACTTTAACACATTATATTAGTGTCCTAGCGTCTAAAATATTACAAAATAATTTAAAACTAAAAGGTAACTTCCAACAAACATGTCGTTGTGACGCTCATCGGCATCGGTACACCGTCATCAGGGCGGGCGCGTCCTGCGGGTTCGGCTCGCCCTTCTCACATTCTTACAAAAAGGACATTAAATGCCTTATCTTTCTTAAAGTAACTTTTACTTATATTAATTATAATAAAAAGCCCGATATTGACGAGCGAATTTTTTATAACATTTCTAAGTCTTGTGACTAGATTTTCCCTATCTAAGTAATACGTAAGTAAATAACATAGGAATATTTGTACGACAAGATGCCATCGATCACGAGCGGTAACTCAAATGCAGACTACGAAATACACAACATTTAAGATAAAAAAAAATCACACCCAAAAGACAAATTCCTTAAGTTTTTCAATAAATTAACCTTAACTTAGAACTTACATGGTAAGATTGTCTCCATTAAGTAAATACTTAACATTAAATTCATACGAGTAGCACGAACCGATTCCGTGGGAGATCGCGTCCTAACTAACGTTTATCTAGTCTCTAGAAAAATATTTTATCATCTAAACACTTAAAAAAATAACGGATTCGGCTCTAGAACAGAAGGAGAACAAAGTTTCGAAGGCGGGAGTGGTCCTCACGGGTGGGGCGCGGGGCATTTAGAAGGGCAGGCTGGAGCGAAACATGTTTTCGATGAGGGGCGGCGCTGGCACGAGGTCCTCAAGCTTCAGGTAGAAGATGCGTTGCAGGCCCTGCACTGATAGCGAGCGTAGCTCGGGCAGAGCGCCCAGCACGCGGCTGAAGTGGGGAGCGCCGCCACCGGCTGCTCCTCCGCCGCCCGGCATGTGGGCGCGGAGGCATCCGATTATCTTCATTTGCAATTGCTCCACACGATGAGGCTCTTTCAGACCATGTCGATCTGCAAGCAAAAAAGATGGTTATTGTGAGTAAAATATAATAAAAAAATTGCACAATACAAATTGCTTTCGGATGATTTAAAACATCTAAGAAACGCTTCAAAAATAACTAAGATAATGTTTTAAATGAATAAAAATCAAATTATTTAGTTAGTGGTACACACCTGTTATCAAAGTTAATGCGCAAAGACACGCAAATGTAGATATGTCGATGTCCATCGAATGTAGTGTGTTGCTAAAGTCCAGAACGGCATGCAGCCAGTCTCCGAACGAGCGTTGACACTGTCGTTTATCCAGTACTACGCCATTGCAGAATGTCAACTTGGTGTCTTCCGGACGTGTGCGGTATGCCAGTCGCAGTACAAACAGCTCGAGACGAGCTGATGCAAACAGCTGTTCACGGTCTTCAGGACACAAGTCACCGTAGCCTGGTACCTTGTCCGCAAATACTTTAATCATGTCAATTGAAGTTGTCAAGAGAGTGTAGAACTGTTGAATTACTTCTAAGTCCGACATCGGTGGCTCCATGGGGTTCGGTTCCCGGTATTGTGAATAATCAAGATTGGCAAAGTCTGGAGAAGTGTCCACATGAGCTCTCACTAGCGCTGTGATAAGCGAAATAGGCGGGCTAGGCGGTGACTCTTGAGGGCATTTTGGTTTAGATGGCAATCTGCCACGTCTACCTTTCAAAGAGTCAGTTCTTACGACTTCCTTGACCATTCCAACGTTGAGACATTTCTGGAACCGACAAAACTGACATCTATTTCGTCTTCTTTTGTCTACTGGGCAAGATTTCTCAGCTAAACATACATATTTTGAACCTTTTTGTACGGTTCTCTTGAAAAATCCTTTGCATCCTTCACAAGTCCTTACACCATAGTGTTGGCAAGCTGCAGTGTCCCCACATACAGCGCATAACTGACTTGGTGATGATGGCGCCACCCTGGGACCAGCACCTTCTGGTGCGACGCCAGGTGAACTGGATGCAGAGCTAGGTGCAGACGCTTGCATACAATGTACTCTGCCACCAGGTATCTTAGGGCTGTCGTTAGAACTGGTCGATTCTGACCGCTGTACCGGTAATGAAGCTCGTCGTTGCCTTGCGCTCTGATCCGTAGCTATGTGAAGGTCTACCGAACTTGGGAAAGGAGGTAAAGAATACGAGTCTTGATTGGGTGTCACTCCGCCTGTATCGAATGTGGGGCTGCACGGTTGCGCCGGTGCGTAGTACGTAGACGGTACATAGGGAATGGAAGGTTGATGATATTGATAAAGTAGTTGAGTGGACGTGTGTCCTTGATATGCGCTCACGTTGTAGCAGTCTTCGTCCATTTTAATGCCAAATTCCGCCATTTCTTGTTTAGGATAACGAACTGAGTAAGTTTCTTCAAAACTAGGCAACGCAGGGCCTAATGTTGGCGATGAAGCCTCACTAATGGGCGTAGTGCGATGAGATTTTACTTCAGGCGGGACCGGAGCGTGAAATTCTACGTCCGGGAATGGATCTAGATTTTCTTCTAAGATTTCAGTCGAATCTTCTTGATATTGCGGCGATAATAGATCAGTGAAGGACGAACCGTAGTTGCTCTGAAATAGAAATGACAATCAATAAAGGAGGCGTCACAGAAGTGGTAGGCGGCGGATGGCCGTCAGGGGCGGCCGTGACTAACCAATGGCGTGCTCTAACAATTGTCTACTTATGTCAGTAGGGGCTTTGTGTAACCGCCTGTACAACAATCGATGCAGGTGTTCTAATCAATAATGTACATATATTTATGTACAGGATTTTATCGGATTAAATATAGTTAGGGCGGAAGATTAGAGATTACTTCACTTATTGAATGAAAACATGTTGGAAACTTACGTGTGTCTGCAGCAGTAGCATGCTGGAGGAGTTGGGTGTGAAGGCGCTTGGCGAGCGCGACTCTATGGCGCTCGGCCCTGCAACAATCAGACATTATCACTTTAGTATGAGACTCACGATAATTGTATATCTTATTTAATATAATTCCGCTACTGATAATGAACCGTTACTTAGACGGGAAACGGTCAACCAAGACGAACGGCCGACTGTGAATGCGTCGGGGAGCCGGTAGACATGATATTGACGGCACCATCCTTTGAACTATCACGCTATGCGAGCCATGCATCATTTATATTTACCCTCGGCGAACATACTTTGATTCTTCCTTCACCACAAGCACTCGGTACAAACTAATCAATATCTACCTACTCCGGCTGTGTATTCGAACTCTGATCAGAGGTGATCGCTACCCTTGTACGAATAACAATGACGATGAGTAGGAAAGGTCTCTCATTTTATACTGCAGTTTCGCCAACCAAATATTGGCGTTTTGAATACATTCTGTCACGGTGCTTGATTCGCCACGCCCAGAAAATTGAATTCTATGTATACACCTCATCTAGGTCTATTAAAACAACGTCGCAAATAGGGAACAACACAAATTATAATTTTCTTTCTATTGCGACGAGTTAGGGTACAAATCGGCGTAGCACACGCGCTTGAAAATTTTTGGGGCGAAAAGGCGATGGATCCCTTGGGAGGTTATGAAATCAGTGGCATTTGCAGTTTCTATTATGTTAAGAACCATTAATTCCAGTCTTATTAAGCTATAAACAAAACAAGCTTTTGTTACCGTAAGTTGTTTTGAAAGTTCCTAGATTTTTTTTATTTGATTTTTTTTGTACAAAAATACGTGTTAAAATGATTTTAAATATCTGTAGGTCCTTCTTGTTTAGCCATGGTGAATAAAATTTAGGTTCTTATATCATATAACGTTTATATAGTCCGTAATTCTAGACAGATAAGTACGTATTTAGGTACAATTTGTAGTAGTTCAAGTGATAAAATATTAACAACATGTAATATAAAGCCGTCTAATGTTTGGTAGATATTTGCTTATAAAAATTAACGACGAAAGCTAATAAAAGCGTATCAAAAATTCATCTTCGAATGTTTACATACACGAGTATCTCTCGAATAGCTGCATCAGATTTGATAAAACTTGTTTATTGTCGGAAATAAAGAAATTATGAATATTAGGTATGTATCATATTTAATACGGCGCGTAAATAGCATGGTATAGAAGCCGGAATGACACAGAAAACTAGCGTGAAACAACGCTTATGTAGTATTTCGTCGTTTGAGTAAGGACACTGGAGGCCCAGTCCCTCCCTTACCCCAATCCTTCAAATCCCCTTCAATCATTACGTATCCAAATGAAAATAAAAAGAACATGATTTTTATTATAACTTCGTGAGATATTCTAAATTAATTATTATGTTTTCGGCTAACTCACGTAATAATTTGACGAGATACTCGACTAGTTTCAAGCCATGCTAGAGGCCCATATTCATAAGCAGTACTCCGCGACACTAAATAAACTATATACTTAAACAATAAAAACTATTGAGTATCACGAAAACGAAAACATAACAATTAAAAGAATATAATCTCACGGCTTTTATTTTCTGAAGGAATACGCAAACGTGAACATATTAGGAGAATAAGGATTACGATATCCACAATAAAAATGTTTTCTGATTTGTAGATTTTCCTCATGATTATACTGATTTGTATGATTTATAGCCGATTTGTATGGCATTATTTATAAACAGTTACCCAAATTAATTTTTAGGTTCCAAGTTTATGAAAATATGTTTTATAAAATTATGTTATAAATTAGTTAGTGTATTTTTTCTTCGTATGCACAAAAACAAAACAAAATTAAGCTATAATATGATAAAGAACACCAAATCCAAATGTATCTATTATGTATTTATACATCAAAAATCGGGTACAAACACACAATAATCTGTCTTTTTCGATTTTCAAACAGTCTTTGTGAATCTAAAAGATTAAAGCTAACTCTATAAATAAATATTATGAATAAAATATTGATAAATTTAAATATTTATCGATACTTAAACATATATTTAGAGGATAAATTTGTATTTAAAATTATTTTAATGTGTCTACATTTTAAGCAGATAACAAAATACGAGTACATACATATTAATGCTGCTAAGATTGGCTAAAATTATTTCTTTATTTACATATTATATAGTTATCATAGTTATCTTCGCGAATTTAATTTTACTTAATAATATGTAGTGTGGGTGTGGGCCTGTATCGGTAAATAGTTTTTTTTTCTATTTTTTTAATAGGTAGGAGTTTCACACGCTTTTTGTTGAATTGATTTACGATCTTTGCTGCTACTAAGCAGCAATGATATGATGATATCTGTACTAACAGATAATGCATCAAAATTCTGTTTATCTTGATATGTGAGTTCAACTGATGATTAACATACATCTGATATATACTGATGGTTTTCATACATTCTTTCAAGTCCAAAATTATGAAACGCCTTACCGATGAAAACTTTTTACTTGTGTACATTTATCGTCTTAACTTTGAACGGTATTAACTTTTTTTATTACTTTAAATTCAATGAAAGAAAAAAGAGCAGTGTAATAATATGTTACGAATTAGATTACGCAAAAGTTGTCTTACCGTTACACAAAATTTTCTAATAAGTCAAAATCATTTTTAGATAGGTACCTACAATAAGTTGTACGATTCGATTTCAAATGAAATTATATTCGTGCCGGCCTTTGCTAAGTTATAAGAAACGAAAATCGCATTCTAATGACAGTGAAACTGTTGATTTTCCTACAGCCCATTAGTCTACAGTCCAATTAAAGCTGCCTTTGAATCCATTTGATAGAAGGTTCTATGCCCTCTGTTAGACTTTACAAGAGTTACAATCTCGAGAAAGCTACGCACGTACGGTGGGACCTCGCTTGAAAGGAGGTTTCAATCCGCCTAATTGTATCACAAACTATCCGCCAGATGGCGATGAGGTGTCGTAAGCTACACTATTGATCAGAGTTGTACTAATGTGAGTAGCTACGTCATTCATCAATACACTTTTATATAGACTGTAGACTTGTACGTATGTTATCAGCAAATAAACGTTTATGAGCTTTCTTATTATATGACGTTTTTGCGCATACCTTTTTGCGTAATAGCGGCGCGTAAACACGTCAGTGACGAGTGTCCATAGATTAGGCGATGTGAAAAGTTTTTACTAGTCATTTATTTACGTATACAGAACTAACGATGACTAGTGAAAACCGGAAAGTAGATTTTCCTTTACCGTTTTTAGCACTTTTATACAAAATTATTTCAGTTACTTTTGACATCGGTAGGAAATATATTTTGGTTTTTAGATTTCCCGCCATATTTTCCGTACGAAACACTCTTATACTACGACCTACTGCAGACTTGTTTGAGTGACCTTCAGACTTATTTCTAGCTTAAATAAATTATCATAGCTAATATACAAGTAAACGTGTTGCATGTGTCAGATTGTTTCCAGGGGACAGAAACTATGAACTATGACTATACCGAGTGAAGAAATTCGTTTTTCGATATTATTAGATAGATTTCGCATGTAGCCATAAAGTTTAACGAGTAAAGGCTTCAGGGTCAATGGAATGTAGACATATAACAATAGATAGCATCCGATGTATATGTACAAAGTTGTAAGTATACGTAATAGCGCGTCTAGTCTGCGGGAAATTGGTCGTAAGGGTGCGGACGTCACCCGCGTGTGTTTTATCAAGTAAACGTGATTTCGGTGGAATTATCAGCTGTAGCGGCGGCGTGGGCGGAGGAGGCTTACTGATGACGTCAGCACCATCTACGTCACAGCCACCCTCCGCCGCCACCTCTCGCGTCTGCAGGTAAAATATTATTGAATATACCGCTCCTATTTCGTATCTAATTTTATTTATTGAATGCTGTTAGAGTACTGAAATTTATCTCATAAAGACAATATATTTTGCATAAGAACGTCTGCGAGATAAAGCTCTAATAAAATAATAAAAAAAAATGAAGGCGCACGAACGCTTCGTACCTAAGCGATTTTATTTCCGGAGTTCCGGACTCAAAAATCATCTTTAGTAGTTAGGTTAGGTTGGTTGATGACAATGATGTATGTAAACTGTTGTCATCCGTTGTAAAACTTTCACAAAAATTATACGAATCGCTTACACCGGGCTTGCTACGGCTGCATTGTTTTTGCTACGACAGTGACGCTTCCGCTACGAAACTGCTACGATATTTTAAAAGTGCTAATTGTTTCCGCTACGCTGACCATATTATAACACATCCGTTATCACTACTTAGCTATTAGAATAATTGAATGGAAAGCAAACTTGTAGTTATAACTCTTTTTAGCCTATTTACTACTACTAATATATCACAAGTAAAATATAAAAAATTAGAAAGAGAATAATGAGATCCCGACTGTTAAATTTTTTAACAACTGTGCCTTAGAATTTCTGTTTGAAAATAAACATTTAATTCAGTTTAATCGTCGACACGAAAAATTTAATTTAAAAAAAATCATCTCTTATTGTAGATTTGTTTCTTATGATATCACATTTGATGTGCTGGATTAGTTATAAGTAATTAATGTTTATATAACAAAACAAGTACTATGATTTTTTTTCTATAGTCAATAACTTTTAAAAACGGAAAAATAATTGAGTACTTATAAATATTTTCTCCTCAGTTACTATGACTGCATGGTTGGCGCGGTGGCTGGACAACTGGCTGCCGCGCAACGTGTCGCGGGTTCGATTCCCGCTCGGAACAACTCTTTGTGTGATCCACAGATTGTTGTTCCGGGTCGCACCCACGACACAGGAGAAAATCCTAATTTGGGGCAACGTTTTTTTTAAGTTACATCTGTTGGCGAAGAGATGAAGGACAAGCTTTAATATCTCATTACTGGTTGAAATATGGAACCAGTTGAGAAGGATAGTCGAGAATTTGGCCCACAAAAGGTGTGACTAACGAACAAAGTAGTCGGTATCAATATCTTATCAGATTGTGGTCGACCACCGGTGAATATACTCGGAAATAGTGTTTGATTTTACGAGAACTTTACATTAGAATTATGTTTAGGAGCTTAAGTGAACTCATTTAAAATGGAAGAAAAGAAACAGTTAAAGGACTCTAAAGATACATTTTAAAAATATTGTTCAATTACATCGTGTGAGTAGTTTTACGGATCGAAAAAAGGAATACCTACATATTTTTTTTTATTTTCTTCTGTTATTATCTCTATAAAAGACTCACCCACCTTGTTGAAAGCATTTGTACTTTAATATATAAACTAATAGACCGCTCCTGCTTCGCATGGGTTCCCGACTACCCTGGTGTCAGTCATTTTTTTTGCAAGCGAACGGCCACGGCGTGGAAAGGGTTGTTAAATACAGCTTTACTTTTATAAAATTTTCTCTTGTAAGAATCTTCTCCCTATAATAACGAACATAACAAAAAAGAGTTAACAAAATTGGTCCAGGCGTTATTGAGTTATGCGCTTACCAGCACATTTTGCGAACCATTTTTATATATAAGAATAAAACAATAGAAATTTCTTCAAAATGATAAAGGTTTGTTCCTTTGACAATATTACAATTGTAATAAATACACTCATAATTTATTTTGTACTTTTTAAAGCACGAATGATGCTATTTAGGCTTGGATCCGTCATAAGAGAAATATTTTGAAGCGACTTTGACTGTGTGGTGAAAGCTAATTTTTACGGGGATGTCTAGGCGAGTTTCGCATAAAAAATATTAGAACGGAATTAAACATTTTAGAAATAATTGAATAGACAATTAAATATCATGTTCAAACACTTAACTGGTATTCTATATATAAAAAAACAATTTAATGTGTATAATTAATTCTGTATAAATTACAATAAATACTAAGCCACCGGTAGACGGAAAATATATATGTTTTATCTTAATATCGTCTAGACAAGTTCAGTTTCCTTGTTTTATCTCATACTTTTTTATGCTCTCGATTCTGTTTAGATATTTGTGATCTTAAAAGACTAAGCTTAAAAAGGTTATTTTCGTAGTCGATCAGTATTAACGAAGGTAAAGACTTTTAACTACGATTAAAAAAATAAATCCTTAAATGCATTCGGTAGGTATTTGTTGGATAACAATAAATATATAATATCATGTCATACATTATTATGCATGTATATTTATATTTTTTTCAGATATCTCCGTTTTCATTCCTTTTTTCTTGATAAAATATTAGAAAAAGAAGTTTAAAAGTCGCCGCTTTGTTTTTAATAACACATTTATCGATGTGTGCAAAACGTACACCCATATGTTACCTGTTGTATTATGAGGCTCATGAAACAATTTAAAAATCTAAAACCTAAACAATATACGTAAAACATCAGAGACAAACATAGAATATGACATAGAACACAAAAAACACACGTGCACACATTGTAGGCACGTTTATACATAGCTACTTAGATCATTAAATTACAATAACACAACATAATATGTTATTTTTTGGCCTTGCTTGTGAACCAAGTAATTAAGTGATTCTAAGTTGTCGAAATATTTATTACTTTAATATAAATCAATTTATTTTATGACACTACTTAATTTAAGATGTGACGAAACTGTGTTTAAGATAAAATAAAAATGTACTGCGTTAAATTCATATATAGTTTATTTGCAAAGGTAAAAAGTATCTATTAATTAATTATGGAGAAAAATGACGTGGAATGAAAAGTGATCAAAACATTGAAACTACACTACAAGTACGAGACAATTAAAGCAACGGCAACGTCTGGAGTATTCGCAAACAAAAGAGAAAAGGATTATTTTTCGTACACCTACCAGTCTGTGCGATGCGGCGGCCCTGAACTGGTCACACGGTCACACCCCTGTCGTTGGCAACATCAGATGAGGCTTATCAGAGCTTTATTATATCTTTCGTAAACCATAAAGTGCACGGATCTTATAGTTTTGTTAACGGCCGACAAAACTCAATAGGTCGGTTACACAACCACGTACGCTAGACATCTTCGTCTATTACTACCAATAATGTTAAGTATATTGACAGTGCGTGTCAATATTATCCGATGCAAATTCTTGTTTTACCGACTACTTATGTTTTAATATTTGTTGTTTGCGTAAAGTGATTCTAAGTTAGGAGGAAGTCGGTAGCCGGTTGGGCGGCAAGCAAGGGCGTCCTTGAAATGAGCTGCGCGGTCGATGCGTGACGTCACGCGTCCATGACGTCACAGGGTTCGCTCGATGCGGAGACCGCGACCGAGGCCCACCAACCGCCACCTTACATGCTGCCGACTACCCCATACTGCCGTTTCCCCAACACCACCCTCATATTTTTAGACTTGTGACGCAATCGCGCTATTAAACAGAAAGCATTAAGCGTCTGAAAAATAGCGCCTTGGAAGAATGAGGCAGTTGTTATACCGATTACTCAGTCGATTTTTCGGTAAATGTTTTCATTGCCCACACAATAAACATTTGATAAAATATCGAACGCGTACTAATATATCTATTTCTTGTAAAAGCTCTAATTAAGACATTAAGTGAAAAAATAACTCATGTCAGAAAACAAAAACGGAAGTAGTCTCCCCCTGTACGGATGAAACGGAACAACAACAATATCTTTTTATTTGTGTTCGGTGGGAGTCGACAGGGGGATCCGGAGCTCGGGGGTAACAGTGAGAGTGACGCGCTACGGGTCGGGCTTGTGTTGTGACGTCACGACAGCTGGCGACTGATAGCAGACTTATCAATACCCTGAATAGTGTAAACCTCACGCTCGTACGTCATTCTATCATTAATAAACAAATTCACTTTTATTTAGTCGAATATCAATTGGCATATTGTAAAAAAAATATTTTGTCCCACAATAACCAAAGACGTTATCGTATTATTTATAGAACCGCTTTTGTCGAACATTAAGCACACACTTATGAAAATAAAAAGTGAAAGTTTGTTATTCTATTTTAGCATCAATTTAGATAATACATTGACACCTTAGCGTTTGCGTTAGAAATGTTGTTTTAAATGTGTAAGATATGAAACTTGTAACGATCGACGCTTTATAATATTTATTTGACGTGTGGGTTTTATGTATTACAATAGACGATATCTGTTATGCGTCGGTCAATTTGCACAGGCTCGCATCTCGACAGGTGCAACGTCTGCCGGTTGCGACAACCGATTGGGCAAGTGGCAGGCATCGGCTGAGGCCATCGCACGGAGCCGATCGCGACATAAACATCTCACATTATACTCCAAGTTACCTAACGCACATCCACTCAAACAAATTCGATTGTAATTTAACGAATACACTTATGAGCAATTACCTATCGGAAGGTGCAGGCAACGCGGTAATACTCCGTAACTGAGTTTCAATAAGATTTGATTCTTACTAAAGATTCTGTGATGTGCTTGAGTTAATGTATGCTACGAAGCCGACATGTGTCATCCTAAACCGGCCCTACCGGTGTGGAAATATATTTCACCATTAGGTATGTACATACTTGTTTCACCTATATTATAATTATTCACTGTCACTTTTAAAATCAAACCACAACTTCTAGAATTATACAAAATAGCTACTTATACAGTTATCGAATTATTACAACCGGTAGTCAAAATTATTTGTCGAAATTTTATTACCGTCGAAAATGAATGACGTTTTCATTATAATATAATATTTTTTTATGATTACTTCCTTATTCTGTAATATCATATGTTATGGCACTACATATGGTGACAGGGACTAAATCATAAAATATATTTAATAAATAAAAGTATCGCGATACTAGCTCCATTGCATATTTTTACCAGTTCGATACAATTCCGGTACTTTTAGTTTCCATCATTTTATTCAATAATAATAAAATGATCTACATTTTTTGCAAATAATTAAATAGATTTCTTTAAAATAATATTTATATTTGGAAGAGCTTTTCTGTTGAACTTTCGTGAATATATTTTCACCTCACTTTGTATTCGGTTAGTCACGGCCACGACCTAGGTTTTATAATAAACCATTAAATATTTATTCTTATCGTCCTACCTTCGTAAAAAGTGCCACTTTATAAATTTCAGTAACACGAAGTAATCAAAAGCTCTGACACAACAAAAGTTTTGACAGTTGCTTTACCGGCGAGTTTTGGTTAAGGGAAACGAAGCACTGGATAAACGTTTGGGACAAAATAAAATAAACAAGTAATAAAATTAAATCATAAAATAAAATAAAACAAAAAGGGGGGTACGTACGTGTGTGTTGGAATTGTCTAAGGCCGCAGTGTTGGCTGGAGGGCGTCAGCAACGCACCTCGCATTCTAGCCGATGGCCATCATCACGACAGTCCCACACAGTCTATAACACCCAGAGGTTCTACACAACGAAAGCGAAAATAAACACAGAAGTGGATGGCGGATCGTCGTGCGGGCGCTGACCTGGCGCAGGCTTCGCAGGGTCCAGCGAAGAGGCGCGCGGCTCCAGCGTCAGACCGAGGCACGCGCCGGACAGTCCCAGCTCGCTCAGCAGGATCCTCATGCGGCCAAGCACATTCCACTCACTGCACGCGCACTCACTCACTCAGTCAGTCGGTTGCGGTCGGCAGGTCGCGAGAGGGCGCGCGGAGGTACGCGCTGGCGAACGGGCGGTGCGTTACTGAGGCCGCCGCCGCCGAGGCTGGTGGCTATATCGCGCCGTCTGACGTCACGACGGCGACGTCACGGATGCGACGTCATTAACGGTACCTCCCACGGCCCGCCCGCCGCCGCCTCGCCGCGGCCGCCCGCCCGAGCCTGCGCTAACGGCATCGCTAGTACGGGACGGAGCTTTCATACGGCCGCGCCGCCCGCGCCCGGCCGCTACTTCGTTCCTGCCTCACTGTGTCTGAGCTTTCCACGGCTGAACTCGCGCCTCCACTTGTGTTAGCGTTTACTATTACAAACGCACGTCATTCAACAAATACGTTGTACAAATCGAAAACACAAACAAAACCGATTGTTATTTTTATGACGCTATCAGACATTTCAGTAAAGTTAAATATAGAATCTGCGAGTTACGCATCTTATTTCTCTTACTTATACCTTCATTCAGCTTTCTCAGAAAAATTAAAGGCCTAATTGTTCCATGTTATGCTTATGAATGCGTAACGTAAGCTCTCCTAGATATTGCCTATACACATTTAGGCACAAATGGCATTTTTTGCCTTTTCTCTCTGAATTAATATTATATTCGTATGATCACTGAGAGCACAGCCTTTTAGTTCAGAAATAATAATTCAATATGTACTTAATTTATTTTAGATTTTAAGCTGCTAGAAATTACGTCAACGTTTTTCATTTTAGGTACCTATGTTTGATGAAATACTCTGTAACGATGGAGGTTAAGAACCAATTTCTTATAATTAAAACTTAGCGGAACCAGCCAAAGATAATAAAATAAATGTAGATGAAAACTGAGATGTTTTTTTTTTATTTTTACATTTCAGTGTGAGAACCGATACACATACATACATAGGTACATATTATATGCATTTACTTTTGCGGTTTCGGAATCACCGTTTTAACTTGTTTTACGATTAAGTTTTATTACAGCCGCCGAGTGGTATAACCTCATTTTGTGAGAAGTGCAACAAAAAAGGCGTGTTAAAGTTAATTCTACAATAATGATCATGATAGCTCGGGAGTCAGCCGAATCATTTCGGCAATGGATTTCATTGCTGTATATTACACGGTACAGATGTACTCTACCAAGGCTGTCGACTCAATATTATAATTATTTTCACTTTTATCTACCCATACATGAGCCTTTATATAATAATAGTGGCGAGGATCATTATATTTCAATCATAACAAGCTATTAGCAGGTTTTTTATTTTGGTTATGTTTTTCCTTATCCCGTGATATATTCTTAATTTTGATCTTAAAAGCTCATTTGACCGTATTTGGTTGGCAATTTAAATATATAAAATACGAAAATGTCACTAAAAGTGTAAGTACTAAATAAAATCTTTATATTTTTATGCATTAGTAGAATATTTGACATCCTCAAGTCACACGGAGAAGGTATAGATGATAGATGGTTGGTAAAGATATATTGATATTTAATAAGATTTATGTTTGAGAGACGGTTTTATGGAGCCTTAAAAAATTAAGAATCTGTCTTTACTTCGTAAGCATTTCGGATGACTGCATTAAAATGCGATGTTCGTGTGATGTTTATTGTCAAAGTCTAATCATGTATTCCAATGAAACCACAAATGTATTTTTTTAAATTAAGTAACTACCTCACAGAAAACCGGCGTGAAATAACCACTGCGTTGTGTTTCGCCGTATGAGTGAGGTTACCGGAGGCCCAATCCTTCCCCTTCCCCAATCCCTCCTCAATCCCTAAATCTCCAAATCCCTAATCCCTAAAAGGTCAGCAACGCACTCGTAATTCCTCCGTTGCGAGTGTCCATGGGCGGCGCTGATTGCTTACCATCAGGTAATCCGTCTGCTCGTTTGCCGACCTATTACATAAAAAAAAAACTATTGTCATGTTACCGTTCCTGGTTTGGGTACTTAATAGAAATAGTCATTAATTTAGTAGAGGAAATATAGGTATGAATCCGAGGCGGGTTACTAGCAAAAACGGAAAACGGAATAATTAAGTTTTAATATTGGTTCATCTGTCTCTACTATGGCAAGCCTCTGCCTCGTGTTTTGTATCAGTATTTCCTTCCCACGTTGTTTATGCCGTCATAGAATCGACGCTCGATACTTCCATCTGTCGTCACACTCTTTTGTATAAGTGCTACGTCACTATGTCTACAATTCAGGGGGTCTAGTAAAAGTTCTGACGTTTACATTTTGTATATTTGTACTCTAACCAAAGTAAAATGTATACGTCATAAATACGTGCTAAATGTAGTGTGTATGACGACCATTATTGACACTTAGGAAAAAGTAGTTTCAGGTTCCCATGTTTCGTTTCGTTCACATCATCATCCCTTAAATACCCACGGCTGAGTTAACGCCTATTTTCACACGAAAAATGTTTCAGCATTAATCAACACGCTTGCTGAAGGTGGATTTGCAAATTCACTCTTAACAATTAGAAATTATAAGACCAAGTTTCCTCATGATGTTTCCCTTACTGTTATTCAATGGCATCTTAATAATCTTATAAAGTACATAAACCCGAGAAAAACTTCGGAAAAATTAGAACTTGCCAGGTTTCGAAACCGCATCTCAATGCATGAGAAGCGGGCGACTTACCTCCAAGACCACCAAAACATTTATTTTGTTCGTTTCATTCATCATTCAATAAAATTAATTGCTTTGTTTAATTACTTTCTGGGTAGGTACAAGTGTTCTAGAAAGGAGCACTTACAATAAGTAAGTTTAGTGTTTATTGTAGTGTGTGGAGACAAATGTGTCGGTGACGCTGATCCGGGCCGGCGGGGGGTGAAGTGCGGCGCGGGATGCGCGGGGGTGCGCCGGCGACGTCCATCGCGTCGCATCCCGTGCTCCCATTCGGGGCAGACTGGCGAACGTTTCCGCATTGATTGTAGCCGTCGTCACACGGAGGACACTTATAGCGCAGTTCGAACACTTGTTTCAGACTTGTACTGGTGTGTCGCCGAGATTAAATTTGCAACCGGCGCTCTACATACCAACTGCAATGCTAGTCCTTAAATTTTCTTTTGATTAGTTGGATCGCATCACACGGAAGTGCGTTGCATTGTTTGGGACACGATATCGATTTGTGCTACTAACCAAGCATCCATCGGTATGTGATTAGTGTAATGTTTGAAGAAAATTTCACCAGAGATTTCATCTAATCCATTATGCAGATGAAAGCATAGACCTCAGCGCGATACTAAAGTTAAAACTAAGCTGCTCAAACTTCTTCGGCGAACAACATTTTTTGTAAGATTTCCTTTGAGATTTACAGTCATCAAGGCAATATGTTTGCGCAGAAAGCCATTAGAAAATCTGTAACCGTGGAACAACTTCATTCAAGTTATGTATGCGTAACTGATGAGGCATTACTGTCTACATTATGTCATTTTTGTTCGCTTTAAACTCGTATTTGTGTAGACATCGTGGTGTACACGAAATCTGGCGTTTAATTCAGTTAGAATTGGTAAATATTAGTGTTGTTTCGTACATCGTTTGGTGTTAGTCAAGTTACCGGTGGCTCGCGAACAGCAAGATGAATGAGCTTTCATTTGTTTACAGTGCGAGCATAATATGACGGCTCGTTAGTATGACAGATAGGTATGATTATTAGGTGCTAAAACAATGTAAGCTTTAATATCAGGGTTTGTAAAACGATAAAGTGGGCTTGTGTGAGGCTGGTGATTACGCAAGGCGTAGTGTAGTGCTGACGGCATCGCAGGAGGCGGCGGCGGGCGAGCCTGCGACTACATAACACGAGGTGCAGCGGGGGTAGGAGCGCGCCGCCTGTGGGGGGTTGTTGTCTTCCGCGGTGTGTCCGCATTCAGCGCGGTGCATGTATTTGCGGCTGTTACGATTGGTCGCATGCCCCAGTACTATTTGCTGCTCTCAGAACGGGCAACCGTCCAGTTATTCTAATTTTACATTATAATCGATGTCGTCGTATCGTCGACTCATCGACAAAAGACTTTCCATACGTCAAATAGGCGTAATAATATAGTTTTATTTATCTATACTAATATTATAAAGAGGTAAAATTTGTAAGTTTGTATGTAGGGGTAATCATTGGAACCGCTGGTCGGATTGCCAAAATTCTTTCACTGATAGATAGCTACAATGTTCCTGAGTGCTATAGGATATAAAACATCGCGCTTTGATGAAATGGAGACGAGCGGCGGGTGAAACCATGCGAGAGTAGCTAGTCAGTACTAAAATTCTCAGCACTTATTTATTGCTTATTACCTACAGGAGAAGTTACTACCGTTACTGATTTGCTAATAATATATCTTAGCACCTAATGTTGCAAAACGAAAATTACCACTTGTATCGTGAAAGCGACAAAGTTTAGAACTAATAACAGATTTTGATTAAGTTTGTGTGTTTTATTTGATATTTATCCTAAGTATATGACTAAGTTCATGACTTGCAAAATGTTACATTTCCGAGATATACTCACTTAACAGGGAAATTAGGTAATGTACAAAAATATAAGTAAAAAAAAATACAACGGCTTTTATCTCGTATAAGCTTTTTTGAACAGGTATAAAAAATAGACAGTGACCTTTAGAGCCTGAAAGTTGACATTACATACATGGAGAACACTTATTAAAAAAAATTAAGGTACATTTTGTGGGTGTCGTAAAATAAAAAACTGACAAAAGGATTTTTCTAAAAATAGGTAGTAAAAGTTTCATTCATTTATGAGAATAAACAGATACTGGGAACGCAAAAAGAAGGCTAGTTTACTTTCCAACGTATTCTACACGGATAAACATTTGTCTTTATATTTATTTATTTATTTAAGACTTCCACCACAAAACATTGTACATAGGCGGACTTAATGCAATGAGCATTCTCTACCAGTCTACCTTTGGGCGATGCAGAGATAATCTAGTGGCAGGTGCAGAAGCAAGGAAATTCAATTGAATATACCAAACATAGGTATAAAAATATACATAACACACTTTACATACATACATACTATATATATACATTATAATACATATTTATAAGGCAGTAAATATATATATATAATATACGTATATGCAGTCATAGTCACGATGATTCCCCCAACCTCTTCAAAAGAAGCTCCCGAACTCTCTGCTTGAAAGACAGCCGACTAGTCAAGATCCTTATATCTGAAGATAGATACTCCAGCAACAGATTGCTGTAACTAGTTTAAACTTCAATGACTACAATGTTTACGCTGTTGAATCACTATTTACTCGCCATTATCTCACGATGATAACGCGGAAACTGTGATTC